AGAACTCTTAATAAAATTACCTCCATAAATGCACACCCTCTATAAATACACATTTTTCAAAAATTTTCCTATGGTCCCGAGGATGTGTATTTAGAGAGGATTCACTGTATTTAACAAATTTATCTATTGAAATAATTTTAATAATTTCTTATTGATGATTTTTTCAAGTTAAGATTTAAGAATATTTTGATAATATATTTAAAAAAATTCATTAAATAAACTTATTCTTTGTTTTCAAATATATATATTTATTAATTATTAATTTATAAGTAAAATCAGAAATATAATTTATTTTGATTTTTTTTAACCAAACTGTATATACTGTATATATAGATAAAAAAATAATCCAAAAATTAAAAACTAGACAAAGATTCAAAGGCAGAAAATTATTCTACTTAGCTTATTTTATTTAAATTTTGATCAAATATATAAATTATTTGATAATGAGTATAACATATGAAAATTATTATAATTATTTTCATATATAATAAATAAAGTTATTATACATATATCAATTTTTTTTGAAAATTGATCGTAAAATTCAACACACCAATATATGCATAGATTTCAATATACAGTATTTCATTGCTAAATAAAAAATTAGTCGGAAATCGAATATTTCGTAATCGATGGAATATATGATAAAGCAAGAATTTGTTATGATGTCGAATAATAAAAACATTTAGTTAGATATTATTTATCAAGTACGTTTTATTAATTTAATATCTGATATTTCATAAGAGAATTTTCTTTTAATGTCAAATGATTTAATGATCTAATAGTCTCTCCTAACATCACGTTTTGTGATTTGCATCTTTATTAAATATGTTCTCTTGATAATAATGTAAGATGTATTGCAAGACTTTGAAAATTTTTCTTCTTTTTTAAATTAGAGGTATGTTTAACATTAATTTCGAATCTAAGATACTTGTTATTAATAATAATGTTTACTTGTACGTAACGAAATTATTCTAAACTTATGTTGCAGAAAAGGGATTTTACTTCTATTTCTAAATTGATAATAAATTAAACAAAGTGTTATTTAAAAAAAAAAATATCATCTCTCCAGATATATTACAAATTCGTAGAGATCATGAAGCTACTTCTAGAACAATGTGATTGTTGCAACGTATCCATTCTTCATTACCTCGAACACTGCACCATCATGTCCACTTAACTCAGTGGGTCCAAATGGATTCTGTCCACCAGCACCACGATTAAAAATAAGTGGTCGCCCATTGAGTGGACCAAAAAGCTCCCTGATCTTGTCAATTTTCATTTCTGCGGTAATAAAAGTAACTCCAGCATGTGAAGATGTTAATTGATTATCGTCATCATTGAAAACTTCAAGTTTCGCGACCTCATTTATATCAGGACTGGAATCCACCTTGGAATGTAATAATATTTTGTATGGACATCGTTTATACCTTTGAAAATCGTAATGACCCGGAACGTTACCATGCAATATAATTTTCTTACAACGATGAGTTATCCCGTCAAAGAGTACATCAAATCCATGCTGAAAATAATTGTAAAAATAATCAATTGGATGCCCATCCTCCTCGCGATTGCGAGCATCCGTTCCATTTGATAGTACGTTTCTATTTTCTTGTGCGTTACTATCCACATTGTCCATATCATCTATATTTTCAGAATGTATACGCATTTTGTCTTCCTCTTTAAAAAATACCCGTAAGGCAGATCCTATATCTACCAAAAGATCCTGTGGTGTCGTAACATTTAAAAGTATCTCCTTAGAAATGGGACTTGGATGATTTCTATCTAAAAAATTGATGGTGATTCCACGTTTCAACTCGGCAACAACACTTTCGATCTCTCCAATATCGTTTCCAACTCTGTTTTCCGAGCTTGCGCTCCTCGCCAAGGAAGGTACATTAGCGGTACGGAAACTGCTTCCATGGAAGGCGTATAAACGCGAAAGTAAAGGGGATGTACCATCCGGGAGCTCCAGAGGAAGATCTGTTGAAGATATATATAACGAAATGTGTTCCTCAGGAATTGGGAATACAAATGAAACACCCGGATAATTCAATGTATATTCTTTTCTTGTTTTATCCAGTTCTCCAGGATATGTTGGACCGAAAATTTTGTATATAGAAAGAAATGTTGGGGCGACTTTACTTGAACTAACTTCACTATCTTGATAGGTTAACCTTAATTTTGAAAAGTCATATACTTCGATTACCTTTAATCGTTGTATTAAACCGTCAAATCGCATATTTATACCATTAGCCGGTAAGGATAGAAATAAATCTGTAATGATAGGTGATTCTTCTGCGTATTTTAAGTCGACTGAGGGAATTACTCGAGATTGTTCCCTTAGAAAATTAATAACATCCCAAATTGAGGCTCCTAAACGAAACCAACCAAGGCTTTTACCTGGTACAATGGAAAGGTCCAACCTTTGTTGTTCATGACGACTAGGAATATCATGTACATTAGTCATCTTAGCAGTGAAAAGTTTGGTTGAAAGTATCAAAAAACCAATTACGTAAATTACGTACTATATATTACCAAATTAATCACGTGTTGGATGACATGGATACGATAAAGATGAAGACTACGTATATATTATACAATTTATATCATATAAATATTAGTTTTTACTATGACTTATTGTGCAATAAAAGGATGCGATTTATTTAACAAATTCTTTGTCATCTGATATTTCTTAAAACACAAGATTAAAGTAATACTTAACGTACTCTCTATTTTGAAAAGATTGTTTTTTATATTTGTTATAATATTATTATAATAAAATATAATAAATCAACTATTATTATTTTTTTTGTTAAGGTAAAACATATCTCATTGTCTTTATTAAAGAGTAATTATTAATTACTTTTTTTTTTAATAGAATGGCATTAAATATAGGTTTTTATTGCATATTTTTAAAATATTTACAATTAGGTATATCAAATATTTTCTATAATGCTATAACTATGATAAATTTCTAAATTATTTAATATATAAAAAATTATGTTCCTTTTAAATGTTATAATTTAATATACTGAAAAAAAAAAACTCTTTCCTACAACACTTCAATTTGTAAAAAATTTCCTTTTTTAATAATGATATGAATGGCAGATAATAAACAGTTAGCAAAAACCTTTTACTGAAAGAGAAGTTTATCTTTACTTATAATAGGATACATAAAATCAATTAATTCTCTATAGAGAAATAGATGCTTTGGAAGTGACAAAACCTCTTCAAACAAATCCTTTACTTTATCAAGTGAAACCTATATAAGCAACTTTCAAATAAAAAAAATTTTTTTATCTATTTTTATACAAAATACATTTAAATCATTATATAAATATCCTTTTTTTTTCAAATACCCACATATATGTAAGAGATGGCATTTTATTTTTTTAGAGTTTTTGTTTTCTGCTAATGATAACTAATGCCAAATTAATTAGCACAATCTTCTGGCTAATTGTCAATTCTCGTTCACTCTTATATACAAAAAATTGAAATCAGTTTACTCCTATTAAAAGATCTACAATACACAAAATACCAATGACATTCTGTATCATCCAATTATATCAAAACAACACAATGACTTACTGGATTAGAAAAGCATGTGATTAATACCTTGCATGGATTTTAATAAAAATAACACATTATACTTTATTAAAACAAAACAACAAATATTTAAAACATACAAGTTTCAGTAATTCCACAATCTAATCAAATTATATTACAGCAATATTGTAACAATCCTGTGCTGCGCCTGGGACCCTAACTGCGCCAAGAGACCCGGAATGCCCCTGAGCGACCCAGACGACCTACAAGACCAGGTATATTTATGTCAGATGCATACATGGTGCGATTCTGACTCCTGACGATGTGACACGCCGCCAAGCACCACTAATTAAATTACTATAAGCAATTGTAACCAAATTAGGAACATAAGACCATAGAGCGTGCATATTGTTTTTATTATTTTCTTTTCTTTTATTATTATTTTTCTTTTATGTCTCTTTGTATTAATTAAGTACATATGTCTCCGGAGGTTAAACCCAATATAGATATATGTATTTTTTATATTTATTTAT